TAACTCTGGATAGAAGATCTGCGGGGATTTATCCTTTTGGGGTTTTTCATACCTCACTGGGGTCTACCTTATGCACAGAGTCCGAACTCAAAAGCGACGGGGCAGTTGGTGGCCTTCCCTCGTAAGTCCTGTTTCTTTTTTTATACTATTCATCGTCCTCACTGCTCATCTTTACGTCTTCATCACTCTAAATATGTTCGCATTCCATCATTTTGTTAAAGATTGAGGATTTGTAATTTATGTGTACACTCGGTACCGAGAAATCATAAAATTATAATATTAGCTTGAGAAATACATTTACACCGCTTAGTCAGCAAAAGCATTACAGATGCAAGAAGAAAATCATGCAAAGTGGTTGGGCCGGGCCAGATAAATTCTACGTTTAGTCGGGCCGAGCCGGGCTTGATCCGGAAACTTTCAGCGCCAGGCCGGGCCAAAAATATTCGGCCCGTGTGGATCTCTGGTACACAAATTATTACATATAGTCATAGAAAGGGAAGTCAAAGCTAAGAAGGAAAAGAGAGATTCGTTGTATATATATGATAGATACAACAGAATGCATATATCTAATCTACTAATACATCCGATCGAGTATATGGACACTGGTTGAATTTTTATTCAACGAAAACAGAGAAAGAAAAAAAAATATTATCATCGGCGGCCATTTTTGGCAGGTATTATTGGCAGGTAGGTTCTTTCAACGAGTCGAAACTCGGTATCACATCACTAAAAATCATCACAAAGGTCTAAGGTGAGAAAGCGTGTATTTGAAGATCCCATACTTTAATTGTTTATTGACATTTAAAACACAAAACTTTTTCAGCTTAAGGGATGAATTCAGGCTTTGTGAGATTATCAGTCAGAAAGAAAATGATCGAAAAATAGGTCGCTAATGGCCTGATTTTTTTGATTGTACTCGAGATTGAATAATGGTATAATGATGACCTCAAAACGGACATAAAAAAAAATCCATTTTTTGTTCGTAATCATAAAACTACCGCTTTTAGGCATGAAAAATTTCTCAGTTTAAATGTCAAAAAAGCGATCAAAAATTTGCCTCAATAGTCAAAAAACTGTTCATTTAATACAGAGATGGACGACTCCAACTCCGGAATTGAGCTTCTTTTTAGTGGAGCTGGAGTTGCGTTTTTAGTAGGATAGTTGAATTGAGTTCAGTTTTTTTTCAACTCCAACTCCACAAATCCAGTTAAAAACTTTTACAACTGGGAATTTTTTCCTTTTTTTTGTTATATCATACCAATGTGTTCAACGTTTATATATTATGCATATGTTAAACTTACGCGTATATCAAAGAACGTGAAAATAGTTCACTTATTTTTCAAAAGAAGACAGTATATCCAATTTTAAGTAAATTAGCTGAAAACTTGTTATCCACATCTGTCACGTTAGCACGACAGAGAGAGTATTTTCGGAGTGTTGTTTTTTTCCATCTCATCGATGTAGAATGTCAAAAGGTACGCTTTCAAAATTAACATTGTTGAAATGCAGTTTTACATTATTAAAATAACTTTTTTTGTGTGCACTCTTGTAAACAAAAGCAAAATAAACAACTGCTAATAAAATAAAGAAGAAAATGAATCAAGACAAAATAAGTTTCTGTCGAAATTGAAACGGAGTTAGAGTTGGAGTTGAGTTACTTTAAGCGGAGTTGAGCTGGAATTAAATTTAGCGGAAGTTGCCCATCTCTGATTTAACAGATATTATATGGTTTTTTAATGGGTATTTAATAGACAATTAATTACACGAGCTCGATGACTTGGATCTTCGTAACCACTGTAAAATGTCGGTTCAATTTTGTAAAGAAGCATAACAAAAATACTGAGACAGTTTTTCTTTAGTTTTTCAGCACAAACGGATAGAAAAACCGAAGAAGAAAAAGTTTAAAATTTACAGTAACAAAACAAGAAATTGATAAATTACAATTTCTTATAATAGACATTGTTTTTCCGTATGAATACAAATTGTATTCTCGAGATTCAGGAAGCGTTTCAAAACATATTCCGATCGGTTGGTCATTATTCCACTCTTCCTTCGGTCTATTCCGACACTGTTTCGGTTTAATTTTATGTTTAAATTTATATTTAATATTACTGGAGTTCACAAAAGTAGGATAATCGGGTACCTCAAGAACCATGTTGAAGATATTTGATTTGAGATTTTTGTTGAAATTAAAAGATTTAGGTTTCAAGAGACTATGCATTTAATAATTCTGTACAAAAGATCAAAATTTCAACTGTAGTTAGTTGCTTCTACTCAGAGTTATAGTAATTCTACCGAAAACTGACTAAAATAGATGGTGAGATTGACTGCTTCTTGAGAATGATTCATCAAGGCGTGTGGTCACTATACGTCCCGCTAATTATATTTCTGCATGGTTATAATATGCATAAATCGCAGAAGATATGGTAGAAAGGACGATCCAGCAACGTTCTCCACTTCCGCTGATCAAAAACGCGGATTCACCAAAAGCCAATATCGATTCAAATTGGGTTTCAAATGATGTTTTGTACTTCTTTTTTTTCTTAAGCGGAACCGCCATAAAGCGCTAGAAAAAAGCTTTTGATACCCCTTTACATTTGGCAAAAAATGAACCAATATGGTAAAAAATGCCTTTCCACTTTCTTTCTGTATTGGGGAAAAAAAATTCCGCTTTTTCAACTTTTTATTTCATTTTTCTGTCCTAAGCATCTTTCAACTCTGTAGGTGACCCTACTTTTGTGGAGTACTGTATTTAATAAACAAAAATCAGTTAGTTTGGATATATGGAAATACAGAAAAATCATTGAAGCTATTCAACAGAAAGAACATCCCATGTGCATTAAGTCGCTTGGATTTTAATGACATGTTGTGATACGCTTGAAAGTCGTCAGCATGTCGCGGTTTTCCTAAAAGGCGGCAATTAGTCGCGGGAAGTCGGTGATTTTTTATAATGTCGTGATTTGTCGGTAATTTTGATTTTTTTTAATAAGCCACTCGCACTCGAGTCGATGAGTAATCGACTTTTCATTCATTCACCGTTTTGTTTTGCCGTGAATCAGATATATAATCAGCGCAGAGTTTAACGGAAAATTGATATGTTTTTCAGATTATCATTTTTTTAGATTATTTTTTCAAGAGTAGGACCGTGTCTGATTTTCCTCAAAGTTAACTCGATACGAGTTAACTTATGCATCGAGGAGCCAGGTAAAGCTATAGGCCAACCTGAACTAGTCGATGTTAGAACTTCGACTTCAGTTAGCAGCACTGTCATAAGACGGTGGCTAAACAGCAGCATACAACAAAAACTAGGAAAAAAGACACTTATGTTAGGGCAGATTTATTAAACCTTTGTATATTTGTGAATTACAAGGAACGAAGCGAAAAAATCATCGATATGTCGCGGCTTGTCGTCCCAAATGCTAAAAAATCCTCAAAACGCCGGCGACTTCTCGGAATATATCGACCAACATGTCGGCTGCGATGTTGCCGACATTTACCACATGGAGTGACATTACAATGAAGGAAGCTCCAGTGATGTGAAGTTAAAGATTTTGAGTCAACGAGAAAAGTATGACATCATAATATCACAGAAAACAGTAATAGCAAACTTTCGCGTTACTTCTTTTACAGTGCAGGGTACGCTAATGGTAAAAGTTAGGTACAGTCGCTAGTGTCAATTTGTGTTGACATTGGTTGTATGACGCAGCTTTCACACCTAGTGTACTCTGATCCAACTGAATGGCAAGTTTTCTAAGAGGGAAGGAAGAAGACGGGTACTTCTCAAGCTCTTGACATGACATCTGTTTTACTTTTTAGATAATACCGAAAACATATACATGAAGCTTTGTTAATCTGAACATCATCCGATTGATTTCCCATATCAAATGGACTTATCGGCCCCAGCGCAAATGATAAAGATTATTGAGTAATCTCGGTGGAATGCCTGCAACTGAAATGAAAACAGTTATTAAGTGTTTCAATTATAATCTCGTTCATATATGAATAAATGGCCGATGAAATGAATGAAAGATTCATTCTAGAAATTGTGAATGTGATGTTTATTCATGTGTAGGAGATTTCCGCGAGAAAGAACGTTTATGCAATAAAACATCTAGGACGAATGATTCAATATCTGAGCAATGTAAAAAGTAATTAAAATGCCATATTAAGCAAAATCTTTTAGACAGATCACACATTTTGTGTGCCATTTTAAAAAGCATTTTTTGTTTAGAATTTTGCGCTTGCATTGATCTGCTAGTATTTATTTAACAGTTGTGACTTTTTAATTTTTTAACACATACTGGGTAATTCCTATAAATATTAGAGATTTCTTATTATTAATAATTTATACAGCCGAGCAATGTGCTCTGTTCTTTAATCAACCTAATCTATCTGAAATTTTTCATCCTGTGAAAAGCAAATCTTTTTGTTTATTTACACAACGTTAACAGTTAACTTCTTTTGTTTTGTTCTAGAAGATTCAATGGAAGATCATCGAAGAGATTTTATGATGTTTAACAAGAATTTTTAGTGTGTACATTGCTATTACTATCCAACGTATTGTGGTTATAACACAACTGTTTCGTTAGCCAATAACTATCAATATTTCAAGCAGTGAAACATTTTCACTTTTCTTGTATACATCTGGACTGCTGTTTAGTTACTTGTACAAATGTATAGCGCTTTTTTTCTTCTAAGTATTTCTATAAGACTTTTTATTTTTCTGGCTTTAATTGTGCGTGATTAGGTCTCAATTATACTAAAGCCACTCTCTCTTTTCTAATAACATCATATATTTTCTCCAAAGTTTTGTCCAATTATTTTCAGTTGCTATTGCTTTTATCCTTCTAATTTTGGACTTTTGTATAAATTTTCATCTATTTTGCTGTGTTTCGAACATATATAGCTGTTTTTATCTAAGTTATTTCTTAGTGTGCTGAAAATCATTGTAATCTTTTATCTGTTGGCTATTTTTTTGCATTTTCTTGTCACGACTTTTTTATGTATGCAATTAAACGATAAGAATTAGCCTTTTTATACTCGTCCTCAAATGATGTTGCTTGGCTAAAGACCTATCTCAATCTTTGATTCGAAATCATTATAAGTCATTATAAGTTTGTGTCAACTTCTTCATTACTCATGGTAATGTCCTTGTTGAAAATGTCCTATTTTTTGTTAAAATTTGCATCTGCATCCATTTTGCGTGGTCGGCTTTATTTTAACACTTTTTCTCTAGATAATTCATTAAGCTTGTTTGAGGGGTACATAAGCAACAAACGTTTAAAGCCACTAATATGTTAAATAGTAGAGATTAAGAATATCAAATCAATATACGTGAGTATTTATACTGATATGTTATCTGAAATTACAATTGAAAAAGTCATGACTAATTTTCGATTAATCACAATCGTTGAAAGTCTGTTCCTTTCTTTGACTCATATATTTATTATTTTTGACTCTTAACATAAAAATGTCATTAATTCATTCGGCTCATATATGTTGCTTTGGTTTAGTTTATATAAAATGCGCTTAATGGATGCGTCATCATCTAATAACAACGATAACAACAACAACAATAACAGTGCTACAAATTCTAGTTTAATGCCACAGCTAAAAATAAATAGTATAATACGATGTAGAACTATTCACGATGAAGTTCGAACAGGAAAATGTATTGCATATGATTCGACTACAAATATGATTACATTAAGTATCCTTTTTCACTATTAGAAAACCAACAGATTTTATATCATATTTTGTTTGATTTTTCTTTAACCTCTAATTTGTATACAGGTACACCCGGTTCAAAAAAAGACTTAACAACGTTATTTGTTATTAATTTAAATCATTGTATTGATTGGTCGGTGCTTTCGGATACAGACGAAGTATTAGAGCCATTATTTTCAGTTGATTTAGATAAAGTATGGATAATACTATATTCAACTTGTTTGTAATTCAATTTTAAATTTTTTTATTTATTTAGTTACGAAAGCGGATGAATGAAAATGTGGACAAGAAAATGAAAGAAGTAGCAGCAATTAATCCGTATGCTAGTAGAAACGGACAATTATTATTCAAAGAAATAAAAAAAACGTTTGTATTTGATCTATGACAATAAAATACTTGACATTGTATCTATTATGATAATTGTTGTTTAGAATGAGTGATGCTGTGTCATGGGATAATAATGATATTGTTGTTAATAATGTGCGTATTGTTGAACCGTATGATACACAACACATTATCGCACCGAATAATGAAACGGCTAGTATAGATATCAATACACGAAATCATGTTCAAAAAATGGTAAATTCTACTTATACTTTATGTATAAAATGACGAGTTGTGCAAATTCACCCTATGAAACGAATTGACTCTTTTTCCATATTTGTCAGAAATTTAAAGTAGTTCGCAGTAAATTGGTGTAGTGACGATGCCAGGATGTTTCTAGTAGATAAACGTTACTCTCAGATTATTGAAAGTTGTCAACGTTGGCATTGCGCAAAAAATGTCTACAAAAAAGTAGTTAATGACTTGGCTAAGTTTATTTTATCCCCAGTCCACCGCTACTATACCGATACCATGTACAAGAGACAGATTTGAGTATATTAAAATTTTTCTTAACAGGTTGCAAGATTTTGGAAAGAGAAAGGATCAAAAAATCGTGACATTAATGATGCTTCCGAGTCAGTCACAAAAGACAATAGGAAAATGAATGGTAGTGGTGGTGATGGTGGTGGTGGTGGTGGTGAAACAACGAAAAATCTAGGACTTTCGTCGAACCAATAACAGGGACATCGTGCATCTCTCTCTATTTAGCCAAATTCAAATGTGTATGTGTGATTTATTAACAGTAAAGAAGTCCATGTTGACATTTATTTCCCTCGTTGTTGTTTTAACTTTTGTGTCTTTTATACTTGTTGTAGGTTTTTTTAATTATTCGAAAAAAGGTCTGTGAAAGAAAGAAGATCCTTATTGTTGTTGTTGACATGTTTCCTGTTTGCTACATTAACTTGTGAATGATTGAAAATGAGTCATTTGAACATTTGTTGAGGTTGGAAAATTTAGATTTGTTAAGTTAAGATATTTGTTACGTGTATATATTTTGAGTCGTAAAATTCCCCAGAACACTGCGTTTAGCAAATTCGAAGAAATAAATCATTATGAGGGAGCTGAGAAAACCGATTTTATTTGCGTCAGACGGATTGAGCTGGAACTTTGGGAAATCAATAATGAGTTGTTGTACTTGTATATTTTGGAAAAGTTTCGTGTTTACACATTCTGTAGTTGAGAAGATGTGTTTGCGATCTTAGCGCTGAATGTGTTTTAACGATAACACGTAGAACTTAAAGGTACACCTTCGCCCCGTTTCTAGGACTTTCTGTAGAAATATTGTCAAGCATAAACTAAAAATGATAAAGCCGTCTTCATTCCAGAACTAATTGAAAACTCAAGCATTTTTTCACTTTGTTACAACTCCCTAACTATCAAGGTCTTCTTTTTGACATCGTTTCATTACCGCTCCCCGATAACTTGATCCAATTGACTTCAAAACTTTATCATAAATACTAGATAACATTGCCTAAGGTAGTTTTCTTTTTTCGTTCTATCTTTTCTTTCCTAGTTATAGCAAAAACAGTGAAAAACATCTTAAAATCCAGGTTTTACAATCTTAAAATTCCTATTACTCGAAAATATAAGATGATAGAACGAGAAAAAAAAATCTTTACCTAGACAATGTTGTCTAGCATTCATAATAAAGTTTTGAAATCGATTGGATCAAGTTATCACGGAATCGTAATGTAACTGGATTAAAGGGATTGTTGAAAAAACACACAGTAAGAAATATAATAATTATTAAATAATAATTCCTTAGACAGTCAGTAGAGATACATCATATACCTAATTTCATTTCATTCACTATTGAATAAAAGTTCTTAGTACACTGCACTCTTGCATATTTCAACGCCATTCCAAACCATTCCTTATTATACATTTCTGATAAAACAAAATAATCTTCTTAATGAAACATTTTTCAAATTTTCGAATAAGATTTCGTGTAGAAACATCGTCGGAAATGCCTGAAATAAATTAATCTGTCTAATGCTTCTCTGTAATGTTCAATTAGAGTACGTTGCTCTCAAATCGAATTTAAAATTTTTATGAAACAATATCTAAGAATGAACATTTCTGTTTCCGTTTCTCATTTTTCTTTCTGGGTCAGAAGGTTTTCTAAGTCAAAGACCTATTTCAGTCATGTTCATGATGAACCATTTCTAAATATATTGATTTAGAAGCGTTAAGACTAGGTAGGTATGGAACGACTCGAGTGCGAGTACATTTCAACGAGCGCGTTCGCCGCTCGAGCACATTTTACGCGAGCGCTCGTGCACTTCAATATATTTTTTATAGAAACATATTCTTTTGTTTACGTAATAAGTGAACAGCTATAAACAATTGTTAACTAACAGCAAGTAAGCAGTTGTTTAAACATTTTTTGTGTAAAACTGTAGAGAATTTATTTAAATTCGGAATGATATCCGAGCACGCTCGAGCTACGAGCGCAATTCATCCGTTTCACTCGAGCAACGAGTGCCTGCTCGATTTGTCCTATACCTAGTTAAGACAGAAAAGTGAATGATATTCAAGCTATGAGATATAATGTAGTGAACGCCATACCAAGGTATTTATTCTTTCTAGAAGTATAAACGTTCAAAAAATGTCCTTGTCCACTATACACTTATTGAATAAATTATTGTTCTTGGCTCTTTTGTTAGTTGAAGTGGTACTCTCATTCTTTTTTTATTTGTGTACTGTGTGTACATGTGTATGATACCAGAGACAGTTCCATTTACATATGTTTATCACATTTAAGATATAAAAATACTTGATTAATAGTGTATTAATCTGTCTACGTGCACATCTTAATTTCTACATCTAGACATCCAGATATAAGGAATGCTTCGCTCACTTGGTATTTGGCTCATATCTTAGTTGAATTTTATCCCCTAAGCTTTGTTGTTTTCTTAAGAGATGCGCCATAAAAGTCTCTATAAAAAGTATATTAAACATTTTTCTATATACCGTAAAGATAAAAAAATATAGAAGAAATACTGCGAACCTTCGATCTCGATTACTTTGCAACTCAAAAAAACAATTTTTTTCAATTTTCGTCCTTCATACTTTGTGAAACAAAAAACAAGAAGATGGCCATTTGATAGCTCTTGAAAAGCTCTATCAAGTGTCTATATTTAAAACGCTTCGTAATCATAATCGATTGTGGAAGAATTTTTTTTCTTTTATCGACTGTCCTCGACATCAACATTTACGAACTGTAGTTTTGGTGTAGTTACAAAAACGTTTATAACTCGATCAAAATCAAACATTTTGAGATCGGGTTTTCTTTAGCTTAAAGTAAAATAATTCTTCTGTTACATCCGTACAGAGAAAGTTCAATATTTTCTTTTGTTTTCTTGTGTCACGACCAAAAAGACAAAATTTCCCCTTTTTTTGTTAGATTTTAGTGCAATCATCTTTTGTGCCAGAAAAACACATTTAAGCTGAACCTGTGATAGAAGAAAAGAAAGACGACCCTTCAGAGCATCAGAACTTACGTTCATGATCCCACCTTTATACATGACACCGTGCTCAAAATATTTTTTTTCATTGTTTCTTGAATTGCAAAGTAATCGAGATTGAAGGTTCGCAGTATTTCTTCGATATTCTTTCATCTTTACGATATATCTATAGAAAAATATTTAATATATTTTTTGTAGAGAATTTTACGGCACATTTTTTAAGAAAACAACAAAGCTTAGGGGATAAAATTCAACTAAGATATGAGCAAAATACTAAGTGATCGTTTTATTCTGAAGCACCCATTATATGTGAGAAAATGTTTTACCACGAACAAATACAAATTATCTGACCATATTATTTGTTAGTTGAAAAAAAAATACAATTGTCTTTAAAAGTAGGATATTACACCTTTTGTTAAAAGAAGATATTTCTTGCATGTTTGTTGATCTATTACTGTCTAATCTGTCTCCATTATTGAATAACAAAGAAAAGTAGTCAGTGGTAAATCAAAGTTTATTTTTGTTAAGTCTCTCATATATCATGAAATAAAGTTTTGTCACACATTTATCTTTTTTTTCTCTCCATGTGGTTTAATGATTGAACAGTTGTATATAAAAGTTTTATTACATCAAATAATTGCTCAATTGTATTTACGTAACACGCTCTATAAAAGAAAGAAAAGAAGGACATAGTCAATGTATGTCTATCCAATATGTGTATACAAATTTTCTTTTTTGTTCAAAATCACATATGTCCATTTTATAACATCGTCATAATAATATTTTATCAATATACACACGTAACATATAGATAAATAAATAAAATGCTTTCGAAAAATATATGTCTTTAAAAAGTTTAAAAAGAGTTAGTTATGCACGATGGAGACAACAATATAGTAAAAGATTTGAATCATGCAAGGTTATACAAGTTCATTGTAGGAAGATGAAGCTTAAAATATTATTAACGATTGATTCGATAATGATTTTGTTTATGTAGGACTAAAAAAAAAGTCAATTATGTTACGAAATTTTTTTCATCAGTATTATGGAACTATAACCTTAGTCAAATAAAATGATTAAAAAACGATCGATTTCTTATAAATAAATTTTAGAATTATTGTTTATATTAGAATAGAAAAACAAACATTAATAGTTATTGAAATTTAAGTAAAACGAGTGACTAATTTAATATGGCTTCTAAAATATAATTTACCATATATTTTTTCTAGTTTTTTTTTATTTATTTAATATTTGACATAAGATATGTGCATCCTATAATTTAAAACAAAAACAAAATTGTTACAAAACTATACATTATGAACAAGTTTTATGTGTGTAACAAAGAACAGCTTTGGGACATAAAAGAAAAAAAAAAAAAATAATAGTACAATGTATTGTACAGTACACTTGGTACATATATAAATCAAGAGGAAAAGTATTTTTTATATGTACTTTTTTAGGGCATATATTTCTGAATTGGTCGTAGTTGTAGTAATAGTAGTAGTCACATATAAAACAGAGATAAAAAGAAAAGAAAAAATTTCATGCAGTACGTTTTACGTCAAATAGTCGTATAGATCGGATCTATATGATCAATTTCAATTGCTTTATTATTATGATTATTATATCTTTACTGTTCATTGGTAATACGTGCTACTGAATAATAAAATATCGTTTATAAACACAGAGAGGAAAGACAATTCTTTTGTGGCTAAAAAATATCACGAAGACGTTTATTACTAATTAATCGAATGTGACTGTAGAGTCAACTTTTTCTTAAACACGTCTATCATATTTCGTTATCATGTGTCTTTCATCAAATTCTAGTGTAAATTGTTCAATATCGATTAAATTTTAACTCTTTTATAAATATTTCTATTCAATTCACTCGAAAATGTATTTTTTATCGAAATTATATTTTGTGATTTAAAAGAAAATGCCCAATGTACATTTAATTTCAATGAATGGAAACTCACCTCAACGATACAGAACAGAATTATCTTTAAATATTGGTGATTACTCTTTAAAAGATGCGGTAAGTAATAATATCATATAATTGATTCGATTTAGAGGCATAAAAAAAAAGTTATCTGAAACCATGCTCCTGTGCCTATGTTTTTATAAATCTCAAGAGGTTAAGAACGATGAGATGACAGCTGCATCGAAATTCTTTTCAATCGATGAGATCGGGCCTGTAATACTATTCGTTCCTTTTCAGAAAACGAGAGTTGATAATAAGAGCTCATACTTGTACCCCGTAAATCGAAACAGACCGAGACTATTCTACTGTAAACATTCAGATGTTCTAATTCTAAAGAAAATTTCTTCAGAAAATGTGGTGAGACGCTTTAGAAAGTAAGAGCAGCACAGTCGGTCTTTATCTCACCTGTATGTAGAGTAACAGCGTAAATACTTAACAAGGATTTTAAAGAAGTTCGTTCTGTGAGAATCTTCTTGTTTTGAGAATATCCCAGATTCACTTTAAGATCTGTAGTAAGTACACAATAATTTCTAACGAGGAAACCTATCCAAGTGATACCTTCCGATTTCGTTCGTTCATACGTCGATGGATAGAGGTTATCGAGCTAGGAAAAAGACTAAAAGGATTTTCCAGCAGGATTCTTAAAGATCTGGGAAACCAGTTTTTCAGAAACTCTCAGAAATAACCCAAACTTTTCTTAATAAGACATAATTGTAGCCAGCAAATTTCTGATTAAAATGAGATATCTCCCTGCTCTGCGCGACCTTTCTTTGCAAAGTTATAGAATTTACAAGAAAAGCCCTAAATTAATTTCTTCTTATCTCTGTAGTTCTAAGCTGACAATGAACATTTACCAAAATAGGAATTCAACAATCTGTAAAATTTTTGAGTTTTTCAGAAAATAATCGTTTTGCGGCATTTCTTACCTCAACAAGCTAAAAGATGCTGGAAAACTCGAAACTGCTAGAAAGACTTGTGGATATTTTCCGAAGGCGCTTTGAAAATCTATCGCTGATTGTGTCTCATGCATGTAAGTTTTCTAATAAAGTATTACTTTAAGAATATATATTCCGTATTATTTTAGAAGAGAACATGCGTAGAGTACTGCAATATATGGTCAGGTTAGGAGTGACTTTTGAGCGTCAGCTTCGGTTATGTTATTTCAATCTTTCTAAGTCTTGTTTCAATTATAAAATCAACTTTGTCGACTTTTTTCCGTTACTGTCATCTCATGCAAAATATGGAAACAAATATGTGACGTTGAATATAAGAAATTTTGCAAATGTAGATCTCCATTAGCACTGATACTAATAAACAACGATGCTTTAACATAATATAAAAAGTGTCCACGAGAATAATTGAACGGTGTGAAAAATAAAATATTTTTGTTGAAACGAGGCGGATGTGATAGGGCTGAAACATTGTCACACGAGATGGATTTGGATTCACGTTTTGGACATCACGCCTCGTGAGATTTACGTTTTTTTAACTCATGATGTTTAAACAGGTGTAACACAATTATCTTAGAACTGTATGTAAGTACGCCCTTATTTTTGCCGTTCCAAAACAACACATATATTTTCCGCATGCGCCCATTCTACTATATTTTTAAGTTCTTACAGTGAATGAAATGTTTAAAGCAAAAACAAAGACGACTTGAATTTTGCATTTATGACAAAATACTTTTTCTATAGTAAAATTTTCTTTCTACATACTTTTAGATAATAATGATGAAGAACAAACAATTTGAATATGTTAACCGGGTACGATTAGTTGTTTTAAAAAAAGTATAAAACAACGAGACCCATCGTTTTCTTGTTGAATACTTAGCTCTAAGTGTTTGTCGCTATCTACTTCTCGCAACAAGCAGTTAGAAGCAATTCTTTTCAATTTGAAGCGGTCTCTATCAAAACTATATGAAAAAGACTCCTTCATTTTTTTCTACAAATTCATGCTTTCGTTGTTTGGAGTAATTACGGATATTTTATCAAAATAATTCCATCTTCGTAATTATTCCATCTTCTGATGTCTCCACTAGTCATGTGTATACACAGTCTTCGTTTATTTATACAAGCACATCATCTTTAGTATGTTCCTGTATCGTAAATTTGTTGACATTCTATGACATCTATTGTTCATAACCAGGTACAACAAAGAATTAGTTTCAAAACTGAATCATGCTTCTTTGAACACATCACGAATGCTATCGTAATAGAATCTGAATTGATCTATAGTATTATAAGTCTCTGGAAAGGTCTTGCACATTATTTATTTTAATCTCAATATTTTTTTCTTACCGTGTTGATGGGTATGATGACATATATGAATAAAACATGTACACGACATTATATAATTCAATTTATACCAAAATTATTATGGACAGATTGTAAATCCTACAACTACTGTCTAATTTACTATTGAGACAAAATTTGTTTCTAAAATGTGTCTATATGCTACGTATTTTTATTTATCATTATTCTTGACTTACTCAAGTATAAATTTGTATTTTCCCATATCTCTACACACACAGATAAAGATAAGATAATGGTGTGTGTGTGTGTGTGTGTGAGTACAATGTCATATACTACACAATTAAAACAAAAAATAAAAAATAGACATATCGTATGTGTATGTGATGTGTTCAATGATTAGTATGAAAGTTTAAATCGTTAGAATAAATCCTACACATAGATAATGCAAAATTATCCATCTTTTAAAATATTCTGTGTAAGTCAACGAAAGATTATTTTTCATCCTTCAGTAATATTCGTCCAATAATATCTAGCAGAATGAAAAGCTTTTGATTTTTCTGGTTTGGACTCATAGTAAGTCAACTGTTTTTGAGAGTAAATGGTTTTAGATTGAACTTTGTTCACTTTCTAACGTTGATTTGAATCATAAAAACAATAGACAAATAACACTTGAAAAAGATTTGTTAATGAAAGAGAGTAAGACAGACAAATGTCTATCATTCAGGTAAATTTAACTATTGCTTGCTGAAAAAAGATATAAAGCTAATGGAAGACAAGTGTCCAGTATGCAAGATCTTCATATAAATATTAATAATATTTAATGTGCTGATCATTTAGTCACATCTAATAGACTCCGATTATTATAAAATTTAAAAAAAACACAATTGTGTGCCTCGTTGAACGTGTTAAAATTTATTCTAGTATACTCTTGATCTATCCCATCACTTTTCCCCTTGTCTTGGTGTACTCATACAGTATTTCTTTGCACCTATGTCACACAGAAAATAATTTTTTTTATTCAGTACTCAGACTATGGATGACGTATAAAGGCAGAATGAACGAAGACATAAAGATTCTAAGTATCACTTTTGATACGAGGTATAATAAGAGCTTCTAATGTGCTCAGATAAATTTTTTTTTTCAATGTTTATTGTAATTTTTAAAGCGAAAAAAAATAGGGAAAAAACGTTCAGTTTCTAAGATCAAATATTACACTAATGAGGTAACACCAGCATGGGCAATTCATCATGTGGTAAAGTCTATGATGGTTCAAACTGTGAAAAAGAACATTTAATGCCATCACAGGGAAGTAAAACGTTTGCTTTTTTGTATGCTGGTTGGATATCTAAGAATTTGATCTATTAGACAGATATATATTGTTCAATGAAGGTCTCTAAACCTTTTGTACATTTTGGGGTGAAAATGTGAGAGAAAGAAGAAGAAAAATGTTTATAAAAAGATAAAACTGCGCGTTCCGTCAACAGTAATTACTGACTGATATGATACTCATTATTCATCTAACAAACTGCGATAATAATAATGAAAAAAAAAAAAAGAAATATTTCTTCGTTCGAACGTGTCGGAATAGATAGAGTGAAATTATCAGAATACTTAATTGAACAACATGACACATGTATAGAAAGAGATAATATCTACGCATCAGGAGTATGCGAATATAGAACGCAATGTTTATATACTCTCTGCACCAGAATTTATTCTAGTATACTCTTGATCTATCCCATCACTTTTCCCCTTGTCTTGGTGTACTCATACAGTATTTCTTTGCACCTATGTCACACAGAAAATANTATATACTCTCTGCACCAGAATTTATATTCGTCTACATCTAAGAAACAACTTGTCATGTAGGAGGTTATACATCAGATAGATAGAGAGTAGAAGAAAAAATATCGACTAACATTGTTGTTGCTGACAATGACAAAATCACCGGCTCAAGAAAATAACATGGACTATCGAGATCATAAGGTAAATTGACAAGAGTTCCCATGAATAAATTGAATAAATATTGTTTACAAATATTGTTTTATTGAATCAATATATAATTTGAATATTTTTATTTTAGAGTTCAACGTTACTTGCTTCAACAGCCATTGATCGTTTAACTGATAAACTTCGTCGACTAGAAAATGAACGTTGTAGTTTAAATTTACAAGTTCAAGTTTTGACCGAACAACTTGAACTTCAACATGATACAATTAATGAATTTG